GAGAGAGAGAGAGAGAGAGAGAGAGAGAGAGAGAGAGAGAGAGAGAGAGAGAGAAGAGTGTGCTAAGTGGGCGTTGTTTGTTTGAGACCCATAATTGATCCTTGGAAGTAAATTTTGATTTCTTGGAATTAAAAAAAAAAAATCAAATGGCAGTTTTTTGCATGTGAGATGGATCAGTGGATGGTAGAAGAGGACAGTACAAAGGGATATGTGTCTATGAAGAAGGAGAGAAAGAAAGAAGATAAAGGATAGTATTCAAGTGGCAGTTGCTTTCTTATTTGCACAACAGAATGCTCAGCTGTCAGTTGGTAGAATGTGATGATTTGAAATTTCAGTGTTGTCACGTGGGGATCCCCTGGGCAATTCCGGGGTTCTGATGTCTTCCTCTGCACCCCAATGTGGATGTGTGGTCGGCCGGTGGGAAGGGCTGGGGTTGGGCAAAAATCCGTTTTTCTTTTTTTTTTTAGCTTACTTTCAATCTCCGCAGCGGGAAATGCACTGAACCTTTTTTTTTTTTTGGGTGGGGGGGGGGGGGAGGGGGTGTTAGGTGGGGCAGAAAAAGTTGCCCGGACCTCATCACGACTGTCCCCCGCTATTGCAAGCACCCGGACCCCTGTAGTTAACACCACCACCTCTCTCCCAGACCCCCACCCCAGCAGGCCTCAGCCACACCTCGGCACCCCATCCCCACCCTCGCACCCCCATCCCTGCATCCCACCCATCCTCCCTACCCTGCCCAGTGACCCCCTACCTTCCCCCCCCTAAAGACACGCATTGTATACTCCCAACCCTTTCCCTACACCCCAAACATCTCTCCCCAAACAAACAACTCCCTCATGACTCGCCCCCCTCCCTCACACCCTGCACACCCCCACCACACACACACACACACACACACACACACACACACTCCTGCTCGTATCAAGAGATATCGTCCATAGATAATGATGATCGGTGTCCAGTAATTCTTAATCCATGGAAAAGTGGGACCTTGCCTTCAAAATAGTTTTGGCCAGGAAAAGATACTTGTGCCAAACCAAATCCGCATTTAGGTTGAAGTTTCTGTGACCAGGGCTAGAGCCCACTTGCACAGATTAAGAAATATTGTCCATGGGGAACAGTAGCTCTTAAATCACCAGTCCCTTTCCTCGCTTGGAAAATAAATATGTGTCTCGTTTACGGTCGCATTTTATTGGGGTACAGGTATTGGACCAAAATGGCTGGCAATCGCATTTTATTGGGGTACAGGTATTGGACCAAAATGGCTGGCAAGGCCAGCAAAAAGCAGGCCCACATTGTTTTTTTTTTTTTTTGTTGGCGAATATAGGCTCAGCAATTGTCGGTGCGCAGGGCAAATTTAGGCTCAGCATCAATAGCTGGGTGGTGGGGTACTACCGGTAGTGGTTTAATCCATGTAAGTGGAAACTCATCCCTTGCAGGCTATTTTGTTCCAATGTGGAACCTCATCCCAGCTATTTTGTTCCAATGTGGCAGTGGATGGGCGCCTTGGGGCCTTGCCCTGTCGAATAGAAAAGGCTGCTGGCACCAGGCAAAAAGATGTGATCAGCATCTGAGAAAAGAGACTCAGACGTACTGGCCCTTGGGGGGCTGTGCCTGCCGAACGAAAAGGCTGGTGGCACCAGGCAAAAAGATGCAATCGGCATCAGAAAAAAGAGGCCAGGCAAAAAGATGCGATCATCACCGGAGAAAAGAGACTCAGACGTGCTGGTCCTTGGGGGCTCTGCCTGCCGAACAAAAAGGCCGGTGGCACCAGGCAAAAAGATATGATCGACATCAGAAAAAAGAGGTTTGGAGATAATGGTGGTTCAAGGGACCAGTACATCGCCACCTCTTTTGTATGAGGCGGATTCCCACTGTGCACCAAGCTTTCCCGAAATGCCAGTGCGGGGCTTTTGTTTTAGCTTTGTGCTGGTGGCGCCCGCCATTTTGGTATGGTTGCCCCGAGCCTCCGATTTTTTCCGAGAGTCTCACTGGTGATTCTTAAACCACCAGTACCTTTCTCAGCTATCGATGCCGAGGCTCAGCCGACCCGTTTCCCGATCCTTGCTGAGTCTCGTCCTACCGGTACTACAGTATGGAAAAAAAGGGAGAGAAAAAAAGAGAAAACAAACAACATTCTTTACAAAAAAAAAAAAAAAAGGAGCCAGAGCACAGTTCCACGCAGGCTGGTGTGTGTGTGTGTGTGTGTGTGTGTGTGTGAGAGAGAGAGAGAGAGAGAGAGAGAGAGAGAGAGAGAGAGAGAGAGAGAGAGAGAGAGAG